TAAAAACCTAACTTACGTTAGTATAAAGTATAGTGTAAGTGCTTAGGTTATAAAGGGAATTGCAGCAGTCTAGCGGACCTGTGTCGTGATGATGTCATCATCTCATAAGGATCATTTACCTTTATAAAATTGAGAACGTGAGGAGATGTCATTCCTGCTGTTAAAGAGGACTACATGCATACTGTACAAAACCCACCAACACATTTGCTGCTGATTAACATTTCCTTTAACCAATCAGATTGAATGGTTATGCGTTTAGTGTATACTATCGGATTCGACCGGTCGGTACTGACTAGTGCATTCTTTAAACGCTGAATACTAAAACCTCAAATCAGCGACATGAATCAGAATCAACTTAACCAAGAGACCACCTCGGCAGTGTTATTTTATCAAGCAACTCATAGAAATTTTCAACTCAGATCGTTAGTTATCCTATTCGCTTATCGAATATTCTTTGTAAACTTTTTATTCCTTTGATTAACTACATGGTATTTATAGACACACAGTAAGTAAAACAGGCTGCAAAACAAACAGTAAACATGGGTTAAACAAGCACATACTATCGCACACACGTACACGATGCGCACGACGATACGCACACGCAGGCACTTCTCAAATCCGAGTAACCCGATTGTTAGCCGCCATCATCCGGTACTTGGCGTTTCCAACGATGAACATCGATTCCGAAATTACAAGCCGGAATTTGACATCACTATATATAAACATATATAAGAGTTGTAATTATCTTTTAATGTGAAGTTCCATGATAAGTATAGTTCCATTTGGGGTGCCTTACAGTATGTAGTGAGATTTTATGTTGTCCGTTAAAGGTGGCAGCACGTGGCAGTCTCATGGTACATCAATGCTTACTTGATTCTTATAGTAACATCTTGACTTTTTATCCAATAATGGACGCCGGTGTCGCGGAAATCCGAAAGCACTACATATTACTTGGTAATAAAACTGTTAAAACTGCACTTTTTTCGTTTAACATATTTTAACATGACGAATTTGCTCAACACATGAGTTTATTAGTGCTCGTTTTCCTTCTGACTACCTAAGTTACCCTAAGATTTGCCATAAATAAGACGTGTAAAACCTTATCCATGCTGCTGTACATGAGCTGTCAGCATTTGATACACCCTCGGCATACTAGGCTACTGTTCCTTTAAATAAACAAAATAAGGTACAGAAAAAAATTTTTATGTTAGTGTTCTGTACGAAATCATTAAATAGGCAGGAAGGAGATGAAGCAGTTTAAGAAACATATATACTATCGATAATATCTTATATAGCATTCTACGTGTGTTAATAAAAACTGCGTGTTTAAGCGGGTTCAACCGGTGGGTACGTAACGACAGATATGCGCAAGACTGGCATACGACACCCGAGTTCGAAACCGGGGCAGCTGTCATCACACCTTACTTTCTCTAACCCATCTTCTATCTTCTCTTCGCAGGAAAGTGGTACGACGTGACCAACTTCGTGGACAAGCACCCGGGCGGGCCCGTCATCGAGAAGTTCATCGGCAAGGACGCGACGGCTGTGTTCCACGCGTATGGCCACCGCGACTTTGTGCTGAAGCACCGCAAGCCCGTCGGCAAGTACGTGCGCCGCTACAACCCGATCGATGTCGCATTCGAGAAGCTTGAACGCGACCTGCGCGCGAAGGGCTTCTTCGAGACGGACTGGACGTGGTACGTCGGGAAGGTGGCCGTCGTCGTCGCGCTGTTCGTCATTGCGGTGACCCTCGTCACGTGCTTCGACGCCTGGTACTGTCACTACCTCGGCGCGGTCGCCCTCGCGTTCTTCTGGCAGCAGAACGGCTTCATCATGCACGAGTTCATGCACTCGCAGTTGTTCAAGGACTTCTCGAAGGACAAGTACGGCGGGCTGTTCTTCGGCACTGTCTGCTTCGGCATCAGCGCGCACTGGTGGCGCGACGAGCACATCCTGCACCACGCGCTCACGAACATCGTCGACGTTCCGAACCGCTTCATCGACCCGCAGATGTGGGAAGGCACGTGGGCGCAGAACGAGAAGATGTTCGCGTTGTTCCAGACACGGCTGCAGTACTACGCGATAAAGATCCAGCACTTCACGTTCGTGCCGTGCGTCATCTTCGTCGGCCGACTCGAGATCGTCTTCGACTCGTTCATCCTGCAGCTGGAGCGCCGCTGGCAGGAGTGGGTCGGCTGGGCGCTGCACTGGGTGTGGCTCTGCACGCTGCTGTCCCACCTGCCAACGTGGCGCGAGGTGGCCATCTTCTACGCGATCGCATCCTCCGTGCAGGGTATCTTCCACTTCCAGCTGATCCTCAGCCACTACTGCAAGATGTTCGCGCACCTGCACGAGTTCCACGAAATGAGCTGGTACCGCTACCAGGTCCAGTCGAATATGAACATCGACTGCCCGCTCTGGCAGGACTGGTACTACGGCGGCCTGCAGTTCCACATTGAGCACCACCTGTTCCCGACGATGGCGCGAAACAAGCTGCGTGCCGCCGCCGCGTACGTGCAGCCGCTCTGTGAGGAGCATGGCATTCCGTACGACAGCTGCTGCTTCACGACCGCGCTCACGAAGACACTGAGTCATCTGAAGGTCGCGGGATCGCACTTCAAGTTGGACCCCCGCTGAGGCGTGGCAGCCGCGAGGCGTGGTGGCACCAGCGGGCAGCGGACTACCTGGGATACCTGGTGCAAATGATACCCTGCTACCTGGGATACCTGGTACAGATGATACCCTGTTACCTGGGATACCTAGTACAGATGATACCCTGTTACCTGGGAAACCTAGTACAGATGATACGTACCCTGCTACCTGGGATACCTGGTACAGATGATACCCTGCTACCTGGGATACCTGGTACAGATGATACCCTGTTACCTGGGATACCTAGTACAGATGATACCCTGTTACCTGGGATACCTGGTACAGATGATACCCTGTTACCTGGGATACCTGGTACAGATGATACCCTGTTACCTGGGAAACCTAGTACAGATGATACGTACCCTGCTACCTGGGATACCTGGTACAGATGATACCCTGCTACCTGGGGTACCTGGTACAGATGATACCCTGTAACCCGGGTACATGTGTAGGATACAGCAACGCGTGGGAAGGTTGACGTCACCTGTCAGCGTGCGACGAGCCGTGGTATAAGCTCGCGTGATATCGATTCGACGTGGTTGTTGTCATCATTGTTATTGTTTGCGTTATGCCGTTGATTGTTTCGTCGGCTTGCCTGGAGCAGTAGGGTTAGGCAGGGTGAGTTCAGTTAGTGCGGCTCACTCTCAGAAGCTGGGGATTTCGTTTTCTAATAGAAAATTTGGTGTTGAATTACTCGTTCAGCAGGTGTGTATCTGCATGCCTTCATTCCTCGGCTTGCTCATTGTTTCTTTAAAAGTACTTAGATGTCTGCTCCCTACAGGAACTTCTTCGTTTGATAAGTAACTTAATATAATAGTATCATTACATTAATTAATTTATTTCCTAATGAAATATGGTTATTCAAATTACCCCAATTATTTTTGGATGATGTTGCGGTAAGAAAATATATTAGCTGCAATTTTGAAAAAAAAAGAAGATATCTTAAAATATTGTTGCACCATTTCAATAGGACCCAGGCATGAGCTATTATTTATTTGGGTGTACCAGTTCAATGTATTCACTCATGCTTTTGATCAGGATACACGAAAGTCTCGTGCAAGTGCAAAAATAAGCCAGTTGGCGTTGTTCGTCTTTGATAAAATAAGCAAGAAAGGGTGTCATCATATTTGTGTTTGTAATAAGTGTATGGCTATAGCTTATATTGCTGTAATTGGAGTAATGGGGCTTATTCTTAACTCCCGTACTTTCCTCTTGCTAGCATATGATGTTGCAAGAAACTTATTGCAGGGATAAGAATATATACCAGTTGGAATTTCAACAATTTTTATTGGCCATACGCTATATTATTTGACTCAATAAGCAATGCAAAAGCAAAATGCTGTGATGGTCAAAAATAGTAGTTACAAAGTTGCCTATGTGTTCTTTTGTATGCATGTTCAAACGTAACTTCGAATATTAGTGAATGTCATTTAAGCATTATAAGATGTTTTAAATTTTATTTGAAAACTAAGCCTTTTGAATGACACGTTGTTATTGTAATTGGGGTATATATTTAGAATTATTAAATAGATTACCCAAAACCGTAGTTTGGTACCAGTTTCTGTCATTGCAATGTTTGTTTTGAAACCAAAGAAAAAGTTCAAGTGCACTTGTGATATTGCTAACCATCTTCCCAATCTGTTGTTGATTGGTCACGCATGTCTAGGGTGTGCGCACAAAACTTCAGTGCTAGGACGTAGGTCACGTCAACGTGTTTATGTCAACTCACCATGATCACCTTTGTCAAACCAACGTTGTGATTGGATGAACGTGTTTACTTACACCTCAAACGTGACGTGGGAGAGATGAGTTAGTAAATGTTTGCGCACTTTTACCCTGGAGGACATTATCAGGAACATGAGTAGTTAATGACATCATCAGACTAAAATATCATAATTTTGGAAGTAAGGTGTCATAGAAAAGTTATGACATTTAGACTGATGATGTCATAACTGCTCATTATGTTTTTTGACAGTGGCCCCAGGCTTACGAGAGCTGTGTTTACTGCACGATTTGTATAGAAACAAATTAATTGCCTTGGTTACATCGGTGCTATGTTATATCTGGCAGCTAGATACCATGGTCAATCTTAGGAAACAAAATGAGAAAAACTACACGTTTTCACTTGATTACGTGTATTCTTAACATGCTATAAGGATTCGTTATGCGTTAATATGAAATATACTGGTGCCTGAAGTGGTAATTAAAAGACGTTTTGGAAATGTATGTGGTTGCGCATATTTGCTTTGTTGAATTTTCGCTTTTAATTTGCTTTTTTGTTTATATATTGTCTACATAAATGTAGTTGTTGTAGTTATACAATTTTCTTATTGGTTCACGCATATTTAAGTGTGAAAGGCCTATTATAGAACTATTGTAAATTCGTATTATATTGTGTGCATGTGTTCGTGTGTAACTGCCAACAGCTGTATACTGTGATTTTGATCTTCCTGCACAAATCTATGGTTAAACATGTTTACATTGAAATACGGCACAAATTCTACTTTAGGGAGCTGCATGGCCTTTGGTACCTTCACGTTTGTCAGTGCCCGTAGGTGCAACTGGTTGTGCTGCAATTTTCATTTAAACATTGATCTACGATATATTATGAAGACGAACTACGTATTCCTAGTACTTTCGTAGTTCTTTTGTTTTATCACAAAATGATTCTATGCGTTGCTTGCATTTTATTTCACTTTGCTACGCCAGCGGTCAGACTACAAGACTGTGCAGACAGCCATATGCACCATCTATTAACATGGTTCAAGTATTGTACAGTGATATTTGTTTGTTTGAAATTCCTTGTGCATGTGAGCCTGTAGCCGGGTGATAGACGATTGCTGCCAGTATAAACTCGCATTGTGTGGTAACTGGTAAGATACGCATATAGGGGTGTTCACATTAATGCATCTATACTAATATAGTATGTAGAGAGAGTATAGATAAGTGCATGTCGTGGGTGATGCTGTCCTCAGTCGACGACATGAGCTTTGAATATGTACAACGATATTCGTGACTACACAAATAGATGATAATTGTGATATATTTCTGGTAAATGTGGGTAAATCCATATAGCTGCGTGTGGTGTAGACAGCGGTGTATAAGGGAATCCGCACCCCAGCAAATTGTTTAGTGCTTATATGTCGTAACAACGTCGTCTGGTTAGCTTATAACGTGTGCAACAGGTCTGACTTTGTGCCACATTATCTTGGCACGTTTCGCTAGCTTATACTAGCTTTGCAGAAGGATTAATAATACCTAATTCATTTAAAGCGAGTTTTGATAATGTCACTCTCGTTAACTTTCGAACGAGTATAAATGTTATCATAGACTAAGAATAATCCTTATTATTCGTAGTCTATTATATTACTCGTGTTTTTCGCCATCCATCTCGGCGCGTATCATTGTTCCGAATTGAGTGATACGTTTGGACATTTCACGTTACCGCGGTGAGCCGCATTTGGTGCTTTTTGCAATTTAAAGTATGTGTGACGACATATCCATTCCCCCAAACCTCGTGTGGTCCATCGGTGTGACGTTTCCCCTAATTCACATGTACTGTGCAGCGTGCAAAGACTGCTGTCAAATAGATTTTACTTGCTCGAGCATTTCATGACGTATGTATACATTAACATTGTATATAACATAAAACATTTGTCCGAGTTGGTGGTATTCACAATTAAGCGGTAGTATATCATCAAAGTTAAGTGTGTCCTCGTTAGTCCGTGTCAAGAGGTTAACTTTCTCCGTGTCATGTAAGAATTGATCCGTCTGAATATTATGTCCACATTACGGTAAAGTGTTAGGCGGCACGTATCGAATTGACTATATATGCGTCAGAGTTTCTACAAGTAACTGTGAGGTGTACATATGCGTGGTCCAGCGTTTCACAGGTTTTACACAAATAGCAGTATGGCTGACTATGGGAACAATGGTGTTCCTGTGCTCTTCCATATCTGCTACGGGCACAACAACGCTGGTCCAATGCGTTTTCTCTATATCGATGAAAACTAGAAGAAAAAACGTATATATGTTTAATAAAACTGAAGTTGCTATCTGTGATGCTTGCATTAAGAAGAAATTGTGCTGTGCAACATTTTATTAAATTTATGTTGTTTTTTGCAGGGAACTTGTCAGCTTAATTAAGAAACAGCCAACCATCAGTATATATTAGCATGAACGTATTTATACTGTTACGGTGTACATGTATGTGTTCACGATGTGTTGGTGTTATACATTGTGATTCCATCGGCTGTTTAGCACGAAGACGTGATTGACCCTATAAAATGTGTAGTCTAGATTAGTTTTTAATGTATTTAGGCCTACTATAGTCTTAATGTGCGATATTGATTTATTCTCTAAGTTCTCCTTCTAATTATACATTGATTTTGAAACCAAAGACATTTGTTTTATTTGATATGGTAACCTATAATAAATTATTAGCGTACACAAGTTCCGCATACATCGTTTAAAATCAGAGTATGCCGCATACGTTACTGTGTAGGATCTTCTCATCTGGCTATACCACCTTATATCATGCGTCGGTTTGGAGAGTCAGTCACGCATGTATTAATGTGTGAAATATAAGCATTGGTCTATGAAATTTTGATGCTTGGCGTTCATGTCAATTATAATATATATAATATATCATATAATGTATAAATATATATGTGTCCAGCTCTTGCTTTCTCTCTCTAAAATCGACTAATATTTACTTCTGGAATGAGTGTGCATAGTATCAATATTGAGCTAATAATACATTAATTTTAATAATTTATCAATTTTTCAATGATATTAATAACAATGTATTATTATTAGCATAGATAGTACTCGACTCTATTACTCCACCGTCGTATTGTGGAGGCCACACGACGATATCGAGCTACGTACAGCGTATAGACAGGTTCTATCTTCTTTACTCGACAATCTTTGGCACTTATTCTACCATTATGTGATAGAAAATACTTTCCAATATATATATATATATATATATATTAAACCATGTTGCGCCGGAGCATAAAATTTGAGCGGATGCAGGGCCGTACTCCTCGTAGCCTCTGGGTGGGGGGGGGGGCGGCAGCTGCCCCTAGGTTTTGGATAAAAGTTAAAAAAACAAGCTATAGCTATTAATCGTAAATAACCATAACGTGATTTTTTGGTCACTTATCCATGAAAGCCTTGTCTCAGACCCACCCCTACCACACTATATTTACTTCGGTCAAGAGCCGCGCCCGTCGCTCAACACAGTTGAGTCATCAAATCCCCCCCACCACCACCTAGGAATTTGATCAGCCTACGGCCCTGGGATGACATGCAAGTCAATACCGAACTAGTAACTGCCTACTACTCGTACTACGTGGTTATCGGTGAACGACTAAATTTGTGGCGCTTGAAACTATACACCTATACACACACATGCCCGTTATTATTATTTTCCTTGTGCTTGAGATATCTAGCCGTAACATCTAATTCTGAATGTATATTTTACAATCCCGCCCACCCAAACAATATTCATAAGAAAAATCATGCGTTGCGATGACAATAACACGCCCGTATGCGTCATCTATGGCGTCATAAACAACATTGCATAACGTGACCTGAACCCTGAACTTCGCCTTCGCCGCAAGCCCGCGAAAAATTTCCCGCCAATGTGTAGCAATATTCTTACCCACCGTAATAATTTCGATTACTTACATAAATTAAAAGTCAACCATCTTTTTATATTAGAGCACTATGATAGCGCACTTTTTTAAACAATGTTTATGTAGTCTATGGCTTATAGTATATGTGAACTGCAGCTTGATTGATAAACAAACTAGCATCTGTCAAGCCTGTTCGTTTGTATGACACACCCTATAGTAAATACTGACGTCACGCATAAATTAGTACACAGAATCTGATTGGCTGTGACCAAGACCGTGACCAACGATCGCGCTACATTAGAAAATTAAAGCAAGGTCGCGTGTATCCTCTAAACATAAATGTGTATTTACTCGCGATTTTGGTGTTCTTTTGGTGAGTTTTGCTGAGCAATTCTTAGTGCATACCGTTGATGATGTCTGTCTTTAAAGCAAGTGATGAACTTCGAGAAGGATTAGAAGCAGACGATGATAATTATGTCGTTCAAAAGTTGGACTTTTCCGACGACGAAGTCGATGCCGGATTTCAAGATGGTACAGCGTTTCTTAGTTCCGGGACAGATTTAGACAATTCAATGGATTGTCTAGACCGTGATTCTCACCAGTTTAGTCCAGATATGCTGAAAAGTCCCAGGAAAAGTCGTCTCAGCTACAGGTTTGTTTGCTATACTAGTACTAGTAGACGTAGATTATAATGAACAATTTTTTCTGTCAATCGCCATTGATTGGTAAGCCTAAAAACTTTCAACTTTTTCGACTGCAATCCGTAGACCAGTGTTGATCTATCGATTTGATCCACTTCTCTCTCCGCCTTCGTTATACTATAGTCCTTTGGACTTTTGAAGTAATAAGTAATAGTATTAGTAATACTAAGTAATAGTAATATTGGCCCAAGGATAGAGAACATGGGTCCCAATAAAACCAATGTGCCTAACCCTAACCCCTAATTCTAGGCAATCACTAGGCCTAGTCTAGTGACTACTGTCCTGACTATAGTTCTAGAGTCAACTTGTGGTTAGATAAGTACTAACTTAGTAAACGAACTGCACTATTTTGTTAACATTACTGGCATTAGATTATATATTGCGTATTTTATATAACCAGTGTCAGTGTTGAAGTATGGCGAATACACCACCATTTGAATCAGTAATGCCTTAGGCCCTGGGCGGCCCTAGTGGCCCAAGGATCTATAACTCTAGAACTATAGACTAGTATAGCCCTTTGCTCTGCCGCAGGTTTGTCATCCTGTGGCGGAGCGATGGGCTATAGTTCTAGAGCTAGCCACAAGTTAGTTACCTTACGTCACTCCTACGACATGAAATAGTCGTAGAACCTGGTCGGACTATTAAACTGCTATCGTGCCGAATTACAGTCAGGCTTTTTGCTACGGAGCTATGGGGACAGTAAACATTATGATAAAGTGCTAGTCGAAATGTATACACAAAACACAAACGTGTTCAACCTTTTCGCATCCACATAGTGTGGTTTTATGATCTCTCAGATCAAATATATGCAGTATATATATCGTGATTATTGAATACGTATCTAGGATAGTGGTACACTAGCATGCTAATACCCTAGATCTACCAGAGTAGCCCCTTCGCTCCCTGTAGCAAGAGCGAAAGGGCTGCACCGGTAGAGCTAGCTAATATCCATTAACGTTACCTCACTGTATATATATTTAATACTACAGTAATACACATCTTGCTTTTATCAGGTACCGAAATCAATGTCGACCTGTACCGATGTTACACAACGACGGAGAAGCAGATGTAGAGGACAGCGGCCGTGCGAGTGACGACGGCACGATAGGTAACAGTGACGACGGCACTCCGCCCCATCGCAAGCTGCGTGCGTTGCGACTGTTCGACACTCCACACACGCCAAAGTCGCTCTTACGTAGAGCGTCGACGAAGCTGAGGGGGGTGCGGCAAGCGGACGTGCGACTTCAGGCGAATGTTAACCCTTTCACTCCGGAGCAGAACTCTTCTCCGCACACTGGGTGCAAGCGAAGTCGAACGACTGATCGTATTAGGTAGGTTTTAGTTTTCTTGAAAATTAAGACGCGTAACTAGTTTACATATATATGATTAGATTCTCTGAGAGAGGAACTTGAATTTGATGACGGTTGCCCTTCTTAGTTAATTTCTGTGGTGTCCTTGAACAATATAGCCAGGGTTTACGACAATAACTACCTTCTTTGCCTTTGTTCCTTTCCCATGAAAACCACTTTGTTGGTGTATGACCACATCGGTTTTGCTAAAAATAAGTGGTTTTGATAACATTTGTTTGAAGGAAATTATTGTGTTTGTTCTCTTCCAACTAAGTACTTACCACGGTGTTCAAAATTTCTGAATAAGTTGAAGACAACGCCTGTATTGTCATAAAAAGTTCTATTCCTATCAGAATATACACTTTATATTATATTAATAATATAACTTTCCGTTATTAAAGTTTTGCAACTGCTGCACTGCATTGAGAGGCTCTAAGGAACTTGCAACTACTACAAGCTAGATGTCATACGAGGGTTGTTTTCGCTATTTGTAGTGGAAAGTTTTGTCATGGCCGCCCATTCTTGAGTAATTTCTGAATGGTTTTAACTGTTCCGTATACATTTTATAGATATACACATATACATATCCTTACAGTTACATCACATATGCTGGTAATCGCTGCTACACCATAAACCTTTAGCTTCCAAAACTCATTATCGATATGGGTGTTTAGACCATTATAATGACTCATTTGGTGATATGTTCTCGTATTTATATGTACGAGGCTTGTTGATACTTTAAATCTTGGTAAATTGGAAATTGCTAAGTATCGGTTTCCCAAATAAATTTAGCATCGTTGTGTGCGACCAGTTCGTAGGAAGTTTATGTACGTAGTTTTTCTGACTGATACACATGTCAGCTAATGAATGATATATTCTTGGCTATGTTACATATTGACAAGTGATATCATGTGAACGAATTTAAATACCGTCGCAAAGAAACATATATCATGAAGTCTAATTTAACAACACGGTTATTTTGTAATAGTATTATACTTGGGTGCAGAGTTAGAAATTAACTTTTTAGACAGGCAGCTAGCACTCGCTGCCAGCGAAAAAAAAGCACCTTACCCAGGTTACTGATTGATGCTATTAATTTCAAACCATGCTTGGGTCTGTGTGCACTGTGTTTTGCATATGACAGCATAACTAATCTCTGGCATTAGATGTTGATTGTTGAGGTTCTATAGATGTGTATTCAGGAGTTTGAGTGCTTAGCTTGGTCGTGTGATGTTTGGCATGCGTAAGGAAACTACCTGTATGGCATTTGAAAGGAGACTGGGAAATCAGGCACAACGATTAGTATTGCAATGTAAACTATTGGTTTGGCGGTTGATAGTATGGAGTCATGGGTGTGAGTGCTTGGCTTGGCCGTGTGAATGCTAAGACCTACCTTAATTAATAACAGTGACTCTGCACCCTTTGTAATTGTTTAGCACAATAATGGGTAATCAAGCTGCCTGTGTCAGCAGTAACCACAACCTGCTGAACAGCTTCCTGCATGCGGTAGTCGTTACTTCACAGCTTGGGTTCTAGTAGATGTAGCCATCATCTCACAAAGGATAGTGAATGTTGATATCTTGGTTGTTTATTATTGCTATGTAAACAGTTCTTACTCGTTGTACGGTCTAGTAATCCTGGTCATGCAGTCACCTTATTGAGTTTGAGTTAATAGTAGTGAAAGATGTCTATTCGTAAATTGAACACCTCTCTCAGGCTCCATCTGTAAGTGACATGCTACATGGTTTTCATTTGATTTTATCATACATTTGTGTACTGTTGCTGAACATTGATTTTGTTTTTTATATTTCTAGAGGTGCGAACGATGTTTTGCTCAGCGATGGCGAGGAAGATGACATGATACATCATCCTTCAAAGGTATTATATAATATATTGTATATATATATATATATATAGACAGTGTTTTCCCTGGCCCAAAAGGTCTGTGAGGTGGTAAATTTGTTTGGGTGTGTTTGCGACTTTTGAGGTGCTAGCAAAGCGAGGAATTTTTTGAAAAAACGTGCAATTTGGTGCATTCTAAGCTATATTTCGATTTTTGTTCAATAAAGTGTAGTTTATTGATGGAAGAACATTGATTTTCGTCAGCGAGGCGTGTCAATGCAGGGGAAACACTGATATATATATATATATATATAATAATAAGATCTCATATGTACTATACTGTAGATGTTATTGCTATCAGTATCACTATCAGTGTTTATGGCATGACCGCATTCCTAAAATCGTCAACATGTTTATCATATATGTGCATACAATGAATCATTGATATGTCTCAGCTCTATGTCACATGTCAACTATCAACTGACATCCAGTCATATCTACTGCACTTATATTGTATTGTCAGGGGTCGAAATTCGCAACAACAAAAAACTTGCGCATGCCGCAAGTTAGGTTAAAAGATTACTTGTGCCAAGAGATGTTTACTTGCACCTACCTCTGTTGCTCTCCAAACTGGCAGTACCCCTTCCCTTCTTCTCTGTTTTAGTTTATGATTTATTCTATGTCTTCTTTGTCTTCCTGCTCTGATTCAGAGTCATTTACGCTTCAATTTCGTACAGAAATCATAATAAAATGGGTCTGACTTTTAAATACGTAAGTAGCTGGCATATTGTTGACTTGCGGCAGCCGCAAGTTGCTACGAAACATCGCTTGTGTTCGGTGAAAATCACTTGTGTTGCGCAATCACTACATAGCGAATTTCGACCCCTGAAATTGTATATATAGATATGATATAAGATATGATATAAGATAAGATGATGATGTGATAAGCTGTAACGTGTGAGTCAGTTTAAAAGCGGTTAGGACACACACGTGCTCAGTGAACAAAATACACGGGGGCTCGGGGCGATTTAGCCCCCGAAATGCCAAAAAGAGCCCCGGAAATTTGCATAGAGTTCAATGCAAACCAAATTTCAGAGTGCTATTTTCATGCACGCGAGCTTGAAAAGTAGCCCCCGAAAAATAAATTTTCCCTGCACGTGCTACAAACGTGCAGTAGCAATTCAGGATAGCAGGTCCCTGATATTTTCCAGGTGGTTTTATGCACGTCTTGGACCTGTTCCGGAATACTGAATTTTATAGGAATTGGTCATCCACCATTACATTTAAGGTGGTGGGTTTCATGCATATGTCATATGTGTTGATTTTCTCAGACAAAAATTTATACTTTGTGTTTTTCGTTTTTATAGAAGATTGCTCTGCGTCAGAACAACATCTCCCGATATAATGAAGAATTTCTGGAAGTGTCCACGTGTGGGTCAGGAGAGTTTGGCAGCGTCTATAAATGCATCAACAGACTAGATGGGTGTACCTATGCTATCAAGCGATCCGTAAAGCCTGTTGCTGGGAGCATATATGAGTATGTACCTGTGGTAGCGCTAGTTGTTAATTAGTTCTGTTGCTTTGATGCTGTTTTGCATTAATTAGTTATAAAGCTTGTAACAAAACAGTTGTTTTCCCCAGCATCAAGTTTGTTAACATTTTAGATATATATATATATATATATATATGTATATTATACGTATATAATTCTGTTGACAAAAAATAACTTTATTAAAAGTTTGTTAACATTTTAGATATATATATATATCAGGAGCGTATAATGACAAATTGAGCGTATTTGTCATTATACGCTCCTGATATATATATATATATGTATATTATACGTATATAATTCTGTTGACAAAAAATAACTTTGTTAATTGTTTGTCGTCTCTATAGGCAGAATGCGCTCAATGAAGTGTATGCACATGCAGTACTGGGGAAGCATCGGCATGTAGTCAGATACTACTCTGCTTGGGCCGAAGATGGTCACATGCTTATACAGAATGAGTTCTGTAACGGTAAGCAACTATACTGACTAGTAAACATGTAAGATTCACGATAACGAACCCACCGTACGCATTGTGTCATAACAATGATTTCTCAAATGAATACCAAAGTACAAATATATAGTATATAAGTGGTCTCACTTATAAGCCATATCGGAAAGTCCCCGCCTCCATATTGAGATTAGATAGGAGGGTGTAGAAGTTGCCTAAATGTAACATGGTTAGGATTGGACTAGTCTTGGTTTTTGATCTATAATTCTCTTCACTAACATCGTACTTCTATTCACAGGTGCGTTTCTGTTTACAGAAACATTTACAAATATGGTTGTGGTCATTGGCATATTTTGCAATGTTTGTGTTAATGCAAAAACTAAAAACGCACGAGTGTTTACATTAATTATATACTTTCCTAAGCGTGCCTCGGTCATTTTATACCCCCTTTGTCTATGACCTAAATAGCACAGCTGGACTTTGCGATATCACTTATGATATGTATAAATATTGTAAACTACTTCAGCTTCAAAAATTTTCCACGAGTTTATGGTGATGTTGGCTGTAACAGAGCAATTGAACAGCAGAGTTCCAGCAACCTGTTTTGAACATTAAGCCACTGTTTGTATAAGCTATGAGAAGGTCTACTTAGTTTTGGTTTGGAAAAAGTTTCCTAATCCAACACATGCTCCAAGATTCCTTCAATTACCCCATCCTTATTTATCTCCCACCCCACCAGCTTCTATTGGCGTTTATGTACAGTGTACATATATTATGTACAATGTATTACATTTGTGTCATGTGCTAAGTACTACTATGTGGTATGTCATGTGCAATGTGTTACTGTTTTTAAAGGAGGAAGCTTGTTAGATAAAATAACTGAGCATCAACTAACCGGAAAGAAGTTCACTGAGCAGGAGTTACGACAGATCACTCTGCACATAGCACATGGACTCAAATACATCCACTCAATGAATCTGGCGCACATGGATATCAAGCCAGGTAAGAAGTTTGTACAACTGATCAAACTGATGTATGTTGCTGTACACTTCTTTGGTATTGTTGTTCTTTGTTATCACCCAGGTGTATTGATTCAGAAAAGTATTAATGTTTTCCTAAAACAAATTATTTTTATGCACAGGAAATATCTTCATTCAACATGCCACTCTGCCAGAGAACTATGATAATGAAGATAGCATTGATGATGACGACTTCAACGATTCTGTGATATATAAGATCGGTAAGTGATTTATGACATTAAAGGAAAGTGGGGAAATTCACGCGGGATATTATGGTTTTGTTACTGTTGGTTTTTTGTGTTTCTGTGAGTTGACACCGCAGTGTGATCCTTGTGCAGGTGATCTTGGTCATGTAACGTCTGCGACCAATCCGAAAGTGGAGGAAGGGGACTGCCGATATCTACCAAATGAGGTGCTTCAGGAATGCTACGACAGCCTGCCAAAAGCTGATATCTTTGCGTTGGGCCTTACAATCTTTGAAGCTGTAAGAACCTTACTAAAGTACATAGATATGTGTGTCAGTGTTTTTTATATTTAATATTGTGGCTTAAGCATAAAAGTAAACAAAATTTGTAGACATTTCAAATGTAAATTGTATAAAAGTCTGTACAGGTATAAACACGTTGAAAGTTTTTGATGAACTGTTTGAACCATGATGAAACATGTGAAAATGTTTATTTATTGTTGCAGGCTGGTGGTGGGCCACTGCCAAAGAATGGCGAGGACTGGCATTTGATTAGGCGTGGTGATTTGCCCTTTCTACCAGGCTACTCTGAACAAATGCAGAAATTGCTGCTAGTAAGTGTCACAAAACTTTAAGGTGTATTTGAATTTATAATTATAATAGCAGTTTTAATACAGATTTGCAGAAAAAAGTGCCCCAAAAGCATAAGATAATCAGGTGTAGATTGTACAAAAATACGTATTCTTGCTGAAAAATACCAGTGCATATACTTTCTACAGTGAAAGGTCACTTGACACTCAAAGCAACTTGTGGGTAAAGAGGGTATGCATGCACAGTAATGAATTGATAGGAAAACAGAATATATAATATTATATTCAGGGTTCTCCCTATGCTGTAATGCATGTGGAGTCTGTCGTGCCTTCAAAATTGAATTAGTTTGCGAAATCCCATGCCCCTGACATGCTGTAATCAGTGTGTGTAATCAACATGAGTTTACTTCCAGCTGTGTTTACTTTTGACAATCCCAGGACAGTCATCCTATGTTTTTAATGCTTGATGCATATGTTTCTGAACTGATCAACATTGCCTGTGTATTAGGCCTGCTTATTTTATGCATAATTGACTTGAATTGGTACAGGCCCCTTCCAGGCCCCTCCCTTATTCGTCTATAAATGACAAAACTTTCTGAAAATCTTGGGGGAAAACCCTGATATTCATGTATGTTCTAGCTAGCACTCTGAACTGGTGTATTGGAAGATGTACAGTATTGTATGCTGAAATATTTGCTGTATCGTTGCTCAAGCTATCCATAATGACTGAGTGCTTCTATGGATACGGGAACTAAACGGTATGTTTGTGAACTACTTGCAGTGGATGATACAACCCAATGCAACTTCGAGACCGTCCGCGACAATGCTGTGTCACGACCCAGTGCTCTGCCCTAATTCGGAGAAAAGCAAGGCGCAGCTCAGCAAAGAGTTGAATGCAGAGCGCTTCAAGAATCAGCTGCTAGCAAGGTAAATTAACGTTCCAGTTCTGTCGCATACATATCAACTGTAACTAAATTGACGATAATGGAATTTTTTTGTTTCGTTATACTGAATGATCGAATTTTAGGATGATAATATATGGTGCAATAAGTTTTACGCATGTTACTGGGCAACTAAAGAAATGTATAATTGTTAACTTGAACTTAAATGCTCAATCATAGGCAACTAAAGATACAAGAGGAACTGTTTAATAACGGACTGCCACGGAGCTTGCCTGGTAACCGCCACAAGAGAATAGTTGGAAGGAAAGTAAACCGGAGCATGAGCCTGACTTCCTTCTGATTGCAACGTCTATGCATGTGTCTGTGGTCACATGTCTGCACATGCTACTCGTTTTCGTAATAATGTATTTAGTCGGTGTCATGTCCTGTGGAATGCTAATAACTGTGTAAGGTTGTCCAGCCTGAAAGCACAAATATTGGGTCAAGAAGTTTATTCAGCTATTAGATTTCATCACAGTCATGCAGTTTATTAGATTCTCTTCAAGAAGCAAATTGCTGCAATGTACGATTTACAGTTTTGTGTTAAGTTTGTGGATCAGCTGTCAGTTGAAAAGAACACTTGCTCAGTTTGGTTAGTTTTTGTTGTTGTTAAGTAAATACGTCTGTCTAGCTAGGTTTCATTGTATGATTTTAGAATTATTATAATATACAGGATTCTTGTGATTTGTACTAGTTTCAGCATGCCAAATTTAAGAAGCTGTTTACGAGAAAAGTTTATTGTATATAACTTGACTGTAGAGGTTCCTGTTACCAATGGTGTAATATAGGTAAATATATTTTAGAAATAAGTAAATCATCATGAAAAGTAATTATTTTAACAAAATTGCTTTTAAAACCCATTAGGAATTCTTGATCCCAGTTTTGAATTTTGGGTGTTATTCAAGCATGATTTGATTGCATGGAAATGATTTCCATATAATAGCTTGTGAGAATATAGAATGTTAAAAATAATATTATTGTCACTATTGATATACTATAAGGTATTTGCTAATAGTTATAGCTATTGATAGTTCATTAAAATGGGTCAAGTTATATACGTAATAGCATTGTAGTGCCAAACAAATGTTCAAAATATTATGAAAATGTGTTTAGTACACATTTTTAATTTGAAACTTGAGTTAGAATGGCTATATATATATATTATATATATTGCTGTTTTGATCATATTTCGATCTTATATAAATTGTATGTCTGTTGATTTGTGTCCGCGCATATTGTAATAATAACTCGAAACTAAAACAATAAATGTTCAGCATTTCTCATTCGTTTTTATTTGTGTGTTCATTGTATTTGTCAGCAATTTTTTCTCAGTACTCTGACTGTGAGTCATAGTTGAACTATAAAAGTATTTTAACACATGCTGCGTTTCCAGGTACAGCCTAATTATGGCATTATGTAATTAAGTGAGACCTGCACAAGAAATTCGCATGGTTTGGCTGAAGCTCCGGTCACCTTCTTTAGTGGGAAAACGATAGGAGGGTAGAGTAAAATGTTATAGGGTATATATCAGGAGTGAATGAAATACTCTAGTGTTCACTCCATGCCTTTAATGCATGTCAGGTCAAACGTCTTCAAGGGAAAGCAGCGTGACGTCCCAATAATTACATAAAATTAAAGTATTTAAAGGACCTTTAGGAGGGAATTTGTTATATGAGTCAATGATGTTATACAATCAATAATTTACAATATAGCATAGAAGCGCTGTGCAGTAGGTGTTTTATTCATGCCAATGATTGTGTTTTACTACATGTGTAAAAATTCATCGTAAAAGTAGTTTTTCCAGTTCCGGTTTCTGCCAAACAAATGGCCTTATATAAAACCTAGGAGGTCTCCGAGGAGGTATAGTGATCCGAACTAGCTTTAAAATACACCGCAGGTTTTGCTGGGGTGAATCCACCCCACCACATCCAATGGCATAGGAAATGCTACGTTAAATTTTGACATCCTCACGCCATCTTGTGTGAAAAATAATTATACGGTGCGCATAATTATATAAAATAACCCAGATGGATATATCGGTATTATATTTCAGGCGCTATATATATATATATGTAATATATAATATATATATATATATATATAATATATATTATATATATATATATATATATATATATAAAGAAACGAAAAAGGGCTAGTATAAATATATATACTCGCCCTTTTCCGTTTCTTTCCCTTGCTCATTTCCTTACTCCCCTTTCGCGGATAGTATCGCCCACGGCATCAGTCGTGCAGTGAAAAGTTTGCCAGCGAAATGGCCGGGTTTCAGTCGAAACTTTTTCATCTCCCGAGGCACAAATTTTAAATTTACGCCTATACTACACGTGCACGCGTGCGTGTAACAATACCCGCGTGCGCGCGGCCGGTGGCGTGTGTGTATGTGTGTTTGTGTGACTGTAAAAACGTGTATTATAGACGTATCTCTACATTTTGTGCTTTGAGGGGTGAAAAGGTTGAGGCTGAAAACCAGCCATTTGTCTGGCTAACTTTTCACAGTACAACTGATGCCGTGGGCGATACTATCCGCGAGAGGGGGAGGGAAATACTGAGGGGAAGGGAGTGAGAGGCGAGGAGAAGAGAAAGGAGGGAGGGATGAATGCAGACGGAGATGTGCACACGCATGCGCAGACGAACGCACGTACGGCACACACACAGGCACGGATGCACAAATTCCTTCTAATATAGTTACTTCTCTTTCCTTCTCGCTCACCCTTTCCCTCTTCGTGACTCTCCCTCCTTCTCTCTTTCTCTCTCTCTGTGTCTCTTTCTCTCGCAATATTTCTATTCATGCACGCACGCACACGCAGGCACGCACTTACGCACACACACATACACACGTTCTCTCTCTGTATGTCCCTCTCTTTCTTGGGCGCTATATATATATATATATATATATATATATATATAT